AAAACACAAACACCTACTTAATTTTTTTTTAGTTTGACCACCACTTTAGGATAACTAAGATTGAATTTCAAAGAACTGGATGACAATATATGAGTAAATAAAGCTTATACCAATCATTCATGACCTACCAGAAATCTATGAATTGCCCCATAATACATCTCTACTGATATAGCTGGTGATGAGTTCAGCAAGAGTACAGGCATCTGAAAATCTGGAAAAACACTTAAATGTACAAGGGTTTATTTATTTCAAGGCCATGTGGCATTTCTCAGCTCCCACTATGTCAAACTGGGAGACGTCATGGAGCCAAGAAAACATTCCTAGATTAGGAGCCTGGAACTATGAGAAATGATTCTTGGCTCTTTCTTTGCCTTTAAACAAATTATAGCATCCATGGGTTTCAGTTTTCTCCTGAGGAAAACATAAAGTGGGACTTTTATTCTACATGACCTTTAAGAGTGTTTCGAGATCTAGCCAGCATTCCACCTGCGTGGACAATGTGTCCCCATCCCATAAGAGTCTATAAACTGTTTAGTGCCACCTCTGCTGGCATAACTGCACGAATGCTACAAGATTCACATTTTTGAGTAAGAAAGAAAGGATTTGGATTTGTGGCAGGTCTACAGAGAAAATGTGGGCAATCTTTCAAATATGTTTATAAAGGATGCACACATGAGAGTGTTGATTTCATCTCACAGATCCAGCCCCGCCCACCAGTCTCATCAATAATATATGTTCATCATGAAATTCAAATGAGGCTGGCGATATAAGAATGATTCTCATATTCCTGAAGACACATTTTACTGTGGGCACTTGCTTACACATTCTATTGTGTTAAACATTTTTCTGAAAGACGAATCTTTATTGGGAATGTAGTGTCTTCCTGTAGTGACCTTAAGACATGCCACAGATGTCCTCTGTAAATTGCATACTTGGTATGAAGCAACAGGAAGAAGGCCAAGTCCATGACACAGGCCTCAGGTTAGAGTGTTAGAAAGGTAGAGACCAAGTGTTACTCTGGACATTTCATTGTGTTCTTTATCATTTAACCTAAATTGTTGCCTTCAAGACTAGTTGCCATCCTCCCTCTCTCCCTTTCCAAGGGAAACTGCACTTCATAAATTTCATAGTCTACAAACACACACTCCATAAATTTCATAAGGTAAATTTGTGTGGCATATCATCCATTGTTAGCTATTAATGCATATCCAGTGGCATATCTATTTTGAGAAGGCTGTGTTTGGGAGATCATATAGTTAATGACTGAAGTAATTTGAAATTGCAAGGTATTTATAGACATGTTCATATCACAGGATTAGAGAAACATGTATAATTTTCATTCTGTGCAGTCTACAGTATAATATTTTTAAATAAAACACAAATTGTTAAAGCCCTAAATCTCAGTCTCACTAGATGTACACTGCCCATTTATTGTGCTGCCCTATCATAGTCAAAACTGGAATACAGTTTTTTATGAGGACATCATTTCCTTAGTTTTTTTTCACTGTAGCACTAATGGCTGATTTGAGTAAATGGCTCAAATAATCTAGGGAGTAGGGTCCCTATGCTTTTTTTTCTTTTTTTTTTTTTTACAAAGTTTTCTGAGATACTAGCCAAACAATGAGGGGCACACATCAATTTTTATGATGTGTTTTTAATATTTACAATAAAGATACTACATGTGATAAACTGGATCTGTAGGAAGTACCACTAACAATGTAAAGTTATTTCTCAGTCCACTGTTTCCATACTGAATAGAAGCTATAAGAGGTTCACCATTTTATAGATGATGAAAGATTTTCAAACATAATTTCCCAATGAAGACAGAGAAGAATTATACAAGATACTAGGACTAGTTCTCGAGTTACTAGTTGGTGAAAAAGGTGAGGCTTATTTTTAATAAGTATGTTTCACTCAATTTCACATGCTCTATCAAAAGCATCTTCCCTAATATATATTTTTCTTATTTTATTAATTTCAAATTGTGGCAGTGGCCAGAACCTATTGATTCACACATATTTGCAACCTGCATAAATAAATTAGTTCTGAGTGCTCACTGTTTGTCCAATAAGTAAGTGAAAGATGTGTTTTCTTTTCCACCTCCACCCCCACTCCCCAGAATAGGAAACTATTGGATCGAGGTTGTTTTGTACTTTTCTGCATTTTAAGTGTAATGATGTCATGTGTCAGTCATGTGTACATTAATTAATATTATCAGAAGAAAAATTTGGGGACATAATAAAAAGTTCCCTCATGTAATCTTTCAGTGAAATGGGTACCTCCTCTAGGCTTTGTGTGTTTTCAGAACTATTATTCCTCACGTTGGGTTCCTTTGTCATTGGTCTCTTCCAACCTGATGCAGAAACGTGACCTTCTGTTTATCTGTACAAATCTGAATGGAATTCAAACTGAGTCACTTTCAGAAGGAGCCATAAGATATCTTTGGTTCGTAGTAATTCCTCCCTCACATTGAAAAAGACACATATATTAAAGATATAATACAATTTTTGAAGGGAGAAATGACTTACAAAGTGCAGAGGCATTCCCAAAAACCTACGCGCTCAAGCAAGTGGTATGCATATCCATGACCCTTCTGGTTGCTCCAGTGAAATTGATTTTATGAACTTCCAGGAGACTGGCACAGTGACTTTCCATCTTTGGTTTTGGTAGGAGATTTATCTGTTTGCCATTTTTATTACAATGAACACTGCCTCATGTCAAGTTTATTAGGCTAATATAAATTCTCCTATCTGTTCATTTAGCAGTCTTGACTCAGCTACAACTGTGTGTGTACTTGGAGGAGTATGCTAGAATAAAGCCCCAAAAATATACCATGAGAGAGATTATAGCATTATTCTCATGGTGATGAGATCTGGTTAAAAACTTGGGAAATAGATTTCTCTCTACACACTCTTTGTACGACATTATTTTCAGAATGAACTGGCCCAAGGTTACTCCTGATCTTTGGTGCTCCTTCAGTTATATTCATTGGTAATGATCAGAACCAAATGGAATTCTTGAAGCAATTACATGCAGATATTTTGTCTCCTAAGAAATAGACACAAGAGCAGACTCATCTAATTAGCAGAATCCCTCCCTGGACTCGCTGTTTGTGCTTCCAGCACATGAATAAAGCTGAGATGTGAACCAGGACCCCTGAGGGCCGTTCCCCATAAGTCCCCTGTAGAAACTTGTGGTGTCTAAGCAACAGCTCAACTGAGTGAGCCGGCGAGAGGCTCGCTCTGAATGTGGCCCCACTAGGAACTGTGCTCAAGTGGTCTCAGCTGGGAGTTGCTCTGGAGTATCTGGCTAAAGGCATTTCAAAAGTAAATGCCATGCGCTAAAGAAATTCAGAAGTGTTTAACCCCAAAAGCTGTGATTTCAAGGAAGGCTGTACAGTGGTAGGAACCAGTCATCTGCTCCTCTGCTGTGTCAGCAAAATTCACAGTGCAGAGAACTTGGGTAATTTTCTTTTTATCCCTGAAAGCTTAGGATAATTATTTTTTGCAGCCACATTAACTCTTATGATTAGTATCTTGATGGGGTTTTCATACCTAGTGGAGTGATTTGGAGAGCCTAGATAGTTGCTATAAGTGCACATTTATCTAGGAGAGATCGGAACCACTTTTATTTGGTGGTAATTCACTGAAATGAATTGTCAATCTGCACTCACACTACGGATAGGGATGAAAAGACAAGTCGTCAGACATCAGCAAAAATGGTATCCTTTCAAAGACTAATTTTGATAGTTTAAAACATTTTTCTATTAACAAAAAAAACTGAGTTTTCATCTTGTATGACCTGGGCTCACTGTTCTTTAAACCCACCCTAGAGTATTTGAGAGATAACCATCTTAGGCACAAGGCATCAGATGATTCAGGCAGGATAATTTTTAATTTTACTTAAGTCCAAAATTAAGGGCAAATAAATCTCTGTTGACCTGAAACTCTTTCAGTTCACGTGGAAATCATTACTTCCCTTTAAACACTGTAGGTTTGTAATCAGCGTCAGGGATGATGAAAATTAATTTGATGCATTTTTTTTTCTTATAATCGCAGACAACCTGTGTCCAGTAAAAGAAAACAGAAAGCCCTGCAAGTTCTGGTTACATAGTAAATCACAAGCCCCCAGTGGTTTTCTGAGAACAGCATCTATGACATTTTAAACATTGATATCCACACACCGGTGCCCATTTTGTTCTTCTCTTTACGGTAAAATAGCTGAGTTCTTTTTAGGTGTATTCTTTCTTTCTTAAAGAATTTTTCATTTAGAACCTCTCTTTTTTCTCAAGGTTAAATGGAAGCTGATCAGTGTTCAGACGGAATCCACCTCACGTAGCTCAGATGGATGGCCAAAGGGAGCAACATTGTCAATGACAAGGAAACACTCACCAGAAAGACAGTGCATGACATGATGTGTAGGACAGCTAGGCTGCTTCTTTTGCTTCTGAATGTTCCCCTTTTCATATTTTTGATTACCCTTGTCATAGGAGCAGACTGGATTACATATATTTTTGCTAATAAGAAGCCTTTTTTTTACAGCACTATTTTAAAAATAGCTATTCAACATAACAATCTTAATTTTGGTTTTCAACAATTTAAGTGAGTATAATCTGTCACCCTCAGCACGTTTGATAAATACTTGTTATATATAGATGGATATAGCAATATCCATATTTGCACACACACACACACACACACACACACACACACACACACGAGTAGAGCTACAGGGCCCTGCTTAATAGTGTGTTCTGAATTTCATGTTCTCTTAATTGTCGCTGGGTTTATTTATATGCAGTTATGGTACCATTTGTAGAGCTTACTGGGTGTGTCCCTGTCAAAACTTTAAAAGCCACAGAGCTTGTGGAGGGTCACCATTCTGTCTAGGAACAGACCCCGTGCTCAGATGGGAGGACTGCGCTGTGAGGTCAGTGAGAGGTGTCCACCACCCAGGCATACCCCAGCGTGGCCAGCTTTTCCCAGTGCTGAGGTTTCTGCTACTGTCAGACCCAAAGAATTTTGTTTATTTAAATAACTTCATAGGATTTGGATTCTATTTATGTAAAACATAGATTCCCCCAAAGAAATTCAATAAATAAAGGACTTAGCCACTGAATCAAGGAAGCAGAACTCCAGTTTTTAACCTTCCAATGGGACTGGGGCTAGACCCGACCCATTTCAATTTGTACTGCAATTGCTCTTCCAGGAGGCAGAGGGTGCAATGACCCCACCGACGGGTTCAGGACAGACTGTCTCTCTGGTCAGCAGCGGCTCTCTGTGTCATTGGATGAGGCTAGAGCTGTAGCTGAATCCGTAGCTGCTGGACCGTGACAAGGGCTGCTGGGCCTCTTCACTCTGCTCTGGGGCATAGCTGGGAAATGTCTGTGCACGAGACATCTTTGACGCACCAAACCCATGTCCTAGAGAGGAAGAAAGGAGACCTGTACTAAGAAACAGATTCAGAAGCACAGAAGGATAAAGACTATATCTACCTGTCTGTCTACCTATTTATTTTTAAAAACAATAAATAAGGCAGCAGCTTTCATGTCTTCAATATTGAGCTCAAGGTAAGTTGAGAAAAACTGAGCAATTTTGTTGCCCTGATCCTTGATGAATTAAAATGTATTCAGATCTCAGTATTTCCTCCAAATGTACTTTGCCAAAAAGTCTGGATGCCGGAGAGCTAGGCAGATTTTCTAGGGAATCTCAAACTTCTAATATTCTTCAACTTTTGAAATAAAAGCAGAAAAGCTTTTCCCCAGAAAAAGCTGTTTTTGATGGAGAGCCTATAAGCTGCTTTCTTTTCCTTTATGCTCAATTTCAGCATACTAAAGCAAATTACACACTTTCTTAAAATCTCTGGAAACAGGCAAGCTATGCTTTATCCTAACCAGTAACCATCAATTATGAGGAAAAGGCTTTTACAAAGACAGAGGTAGAGATTCTGACTTATCCTAGCGGTATGTGAGTCACCGTAACTGAACTCACTTCCTGATATGGTTAACCCAAACAATTAAGCCCAATGGTTACCAAAATGGCCTGAAAATTAAATTCTATACAAAATACATTTAAAGAAATTTCTATCTATGCTTTTGGTTGTTCAGCTGCACCCCTGCCATGAGAAATAGTCTATCACAGACCAGAATCAGAAGTGATTACCCAAAACATATCAGAATGCTAACAATGTACAGAGAAAAATATGCATACTAAGGCTTCAGATGAACCTTCCAGTCGTTTCCTCATCTTTATTTGTTTTTTCCCCTCTCATCCTTTTTAAGCCAGCAATTATTCTTCATACTTGAGAATAATTTGTATCTAATGGATGAGCTTAGTGGGAGAAGAAAAATAGATGTAGTAAGTCACGCTCTTTCCGAGTTTCTGTTTTACCCAAAGGAGGGGCTGTGCTGAGTCTGATTTGTGTGTTATCTGATCGCTTGGTCGAGGAACACAGAGAAGACAGTCTGTTAACCCCGAGCACCAACCATCTATCTCTGTGTCAGGCTCCTCAGGTGGCTCTGTCCTTGGCAATGTCAATCACTTTAAGCCTGTTTTATTGCCAGGTGTGTCTGGCGCCGTGGAAAATATTCTCTCAGTGTGGGATGCTTGGGAGGCAGGGAGGAAACTCAAATGAACTGGGTGATAAAAGGCTAATTAAAACGGAACCACTTAACCACTTAGAGGCAGAACCACTTAAACGTCAAAAAACTGAGAAAATTCTTGCATTAAAAAAAAATTATTTTAGATTCACTATGTCCTGGATTCTGTTGCTGTCCACGTCAAGGAAAGCACACCAGGCTCACCAAGAGGGGATCAGAGAAAATAGGGGCTTTTCCCCGGCACCTCCTGCCCCACGCCCCTGGCTCTGAGTTTTTCGAACTTTCTGCCCCACAGCACCTGCAAGCCCTACTAACCCTTCCCTTCCCTCTCTCCCAGGGCCCTGTCTCGCTCTCCCCGCCTTGCCCGCAGGCCTGAGGGTTGTGATGCCTCCTGCAGTTTCACATGCTGGCATTTTCTCATCGGTTCCCCCAGCTCCTTAAGCAGACGCCTCGCCTCATCAAATTCTCTTAATAGCTTCAGCTGAGTGCATCTTCTTTCTCGCAGGACCTTGATGATATAGTGAAGGAAAAATGAAGCAGGGCAGAAGAGGGGAGGAATTAGAGAGTTAAAGGATGGATTAAGGCAGTGGTTAGGAAAGAAACTGGGAGAGGAGTTAGGGGCGGGACCAGGGGAGGTGCTAGGGGAGGAGTTAGGCGAGAGACTAGGGGAGGGGCTGGGGAGAAGCTAGGAGAGGAGTTAGGGGGAGACTAGGGGAGGTGGCTAGGGGAGGAGTTAGGGGAGGGGCTAGTGAGACTAGAGGCGGAGCTAAGGAGGAAATAGAGGAGGGGCTAAGGAGATAGAGGAGGGGCTAGAGAGGAGTTAGGGACGAGGCTGGGGAGGGGCTAGGGAAGGAGTTAGGGAGAGACTAGGGGAGGAACTAAGGAGAGGAGGCTAGGGGAGAAGCTAGGGGAGGAGTTAGGGAAAGACTCTGGAGGCTCTAAGGAGAGACTAGGGGCGGGACAGGGGAGGAGCTGGAGGAGGAGTTAGGGAGAGATTAGGAGTGGATCTAGGGGGTGACTAGGAGTGGAGCTAGGGGAGGAGTTAGGAGAAAATCTAGGGGAAAGTCTAGGGGTGAGACTTGGGGAGGACTTACAGGGACTAGGGGAGGAGCTAAGGTAAGGGCTAGGGAAAGAAGCGGTCAGGAGAGTAACTAGGGGAGGAGTTAGGGCAGCAGCTAGGGAAGAGACTAGGGAAGAGGGGAGGAGCTGGGGGAGGCTCTAGGGGAGGGGCTAGGGGAGATTTTAAGGAAGTGGTTACAGGTTAGAGGTGGGATCTCTGGAGCTAGAACACCAAATATATATGCGGCCTCTGCTACTTACTAGCTTGTAACCCATCGTAAGGGAATTACTTCATCTCTGGGTTTCTCAGTTTCCCTATCTAAAAATTCTGGATGATAATAGTGGCACTTAGCTTATATGATCTTTCTGAGTATTAATGGATTACATGCTGTGTGCTGTCACCATGCCATGGGAGTATCCAAGCAGGATCGGTAACTAGGGGGGTCGGTGTAGGCCTTCCTACGGAGGCTGCATTCTGGCATGATGAAATGACAAAGTTCTAATACACTAAGGTGATATGGGAAAAAGCACTTAAAAGTTTTAATGATTGTATCTCTTACCATTGACTCTAGATAATATTTCCTAGTTTCTGTAATTGGGGATACTGGCACTTACCAGCATAAGAGAGCTGGAAAGTCTAATATTAAGATAACGCTCCTGGCTTCGGTTTTATCCTGTTATTTTTAAACAGTTTTAGACATATCTGAAAGAGAACAAATGCTGAAGCACCTTTATTTCACATTACTTGTGGGGAGAGAACTGAAGCTTAAGTTGAAAATTCAAAATATACTTTGCCTATTAACACAGTTTTTAGAATCCTAGAATCTTAGATGCAAATAGTCGATCGTGCGATTACTATTTACAATAATCTATTAAAGCAATTCAAGGCTCCACAGGAAAGATAAAGTATGGAAGATACGGTCCCTTTCAGAGTCCACATGCTATTCTGAATGCTGGCCAGAGACAGACAACAATAAACATCAAATCAAGAATCCATTCAGCCAGTGCTATAGAGGGTCACAGAAGAAAGCCAATGGGGCTTAGAAGAACATGTTATAAAACTGTACACATCACTTCAATAATCACAAATAGCTTCCCCTGCAAGTGTCTAAACTGCCCCACTACCATGGGCTGTTGAAACAGACAGGCTTGAGTTCTTCCATGTCTTTTGGAGCCTCATTTTTCTGCATGGGGAGAATAAGGTATTTTGAAGACTGAAATGAAATATCTAAGAGGACACCTACTATGATAGGTACGCAATAAATGTTAATTTTCTTTTTTCTGCACTAAAAGGGTCATATTCTTGCATTTTTTCCTCAACACCTATGCTTTCTCCACCATCTCAATATGCTGTCCCTCTTGCTATGATTCAAATTTGTCCTCCAAAGTTCATGTGTTGAGAACTTAATTTTCAATGCAACAGCATTGGATAGTGGGGCCTAATAAGAGGTAATTCTGTCATGAGGGATCTTTCATGAATAGGTTAATGTCATTGCCACAGAAGTGGGTTGTCACAGAAGTGGCTTTGCTATAAAAGTGAATTCAGCTCCTTTTTGCTGTCTCATCCCATCTTGCCTCTTAACCTTCCACCATAGGATTATGCAAGCAGAAGGCCCTTACTAGATGTGGGCCCCTCAATATTGGACTTCCTGGCCTCTAATATTTCTTTTCTTATGAATTAGCTAGTTTGTGGTATTCTGTTATAGCAACACAAAAAAGACTAAGACATTCACTATGACATGCTTAGAATATTTTCCCCTTCAAGGTCAGCATTGCTTTCTTCACCTCCTCTGTGAAGGATTTCTAGTCTAATTAGAAATTAAATGATGATTTCTCTTACTGCAACCATTTCTTTACACATAATTCACAAATGATGCTATTTAATGCATATTACAAAAATAGCATACTTGAATCAGTACTCTATATATGAAGGTTTTGTAAATGCTGTTTGATTTTGGCAACAATGAGTATGGGAATAAAAGAGATAAATAATTAAGCTTTTTTCAACATTCATTTGAATTATGCCCCTAGGCAGTGTTGATGGAAGCAAAACAAGATAAAAATCAACTTGTGTCTTAAATGAAAAACCTGACGCAACAGACTTGCTCATCACACTATACAAGGACTCTGTTAAATGCTACCTAAACTTTTCCTCCAGATCACCCACTAAAGACAAATAAGGTGAATATGTACCTTTGGGCTCTGAGGGATGCTACAATTTAAAGGCAGTAAAATTGTTAATGGTTATTGGTTTATTTTAAAAGTCCTGTTATCTTTTCTAATCGTTTGTGTATTGATGTTTGTTTTAATAGAAAATACTATTTTCTACCCACGTATCTAGGTAATGTTGACAATCTGAGGGAAAAAAAGACCATATCACATTTATCTTGTAGTTCCAGGATACTCTGAAATGACACTCATACCACCACTATCCACCAACTTCTCACTGGGTTATGTATACATGCCCTAGAAATGCAGTCCCATTTCATCAATAAGAAAATATATTGGCTACAGAGACATTAAAACAGTTGCTTTATTCCGCCAAAATTATATGACCCTCTCTCTAATTCCAGGAACTCAAGAGTATCATACAATAAAAGCAAAACCACTCTAGCCTCAAAAACAAGCTTCCCTGCTGTGTCATAAAACTCCAAACTAGTAATGGACTAGAAGGAGCACAAATTAAGTAGCAAATAACAATCAAATTGAAATGCAAGACCAGAGATTCACATTATGAATGGAAGACAAAATGGAGAACGACAGCA